ACACTTAGAAAATACTAAGCAATCCATCCATCGATCCTCTGGTTCTTCTTTGGGCACTTACCAGAGCTTCTGGTTGCAAAGACCAGAGCCTCTGGTCCTACACGGACAACTAAATTAAGGGATTTACTACCCATCGCCTCTGGTCCTCTTGACCAACGCCTCTGGTCCTACACGGACACTTAACTAAATTAAGGGATTTACTACCCATCGCCACTGGTCCTCTTGACCAGCGCCTCTGGTCCTACACAGACACTTAACTAAATTAAGGGGTTTTCTACCCTTCACCTCTGGTGCTCTTGACCAGCGCCTCTGGTCCTACATGGACACTTAACTAAATTAAGGGATTTACTACCCATCGCCTCTGGTCCTCTTGACCAGCGCCTCTGGTCGGCCTTGGCAACGGATATTCATAAAAGTGCAACATAACTAATGCTTTTCATAACAATTTCTTTTGCTGGAGCATATCCCTGGTTCGACCGATTAAGTTTTTCTGATCACATATAAATTAAGCACAGGTGATCAGGCTCTGCTTAAGCGACATGTAACAATATGACCCACTTTAAAAATCATAAGATTTCAAATTTCTTGAAAATATTTGGAAAATTTTTAGTTATAGTCGATGGTTTTTAAAGAAAACCAACGTTCTCTATAACTGAGGCTTTGATACCAAATCTGTCACACCCCGCTAAAGCGGAAACACGAGATGTAACAAGTAAGCGAGTCATAGCAACAGTTATTAAATAACACCATTCCAAGTTGTTCAAAAACAAAACAAGTTCATCGACATAACTGAGATTATTGTTAAATACACTTTTCTCAAAATACTTCAAATTCAGACTTTAATCGATCTTGCCACGAGTATACTCCCAAAAATCCAATCAACCTTACTTAGGTCCTGAAAAGCATGGAACAAAAACGAGTCAACTACAAAGAGTTGGTGAGTTCACGGGTTTTCATATGCATAAAACATTTCGATGCATAAACCAAGTAATAGCAAACTTATGCGAATCCATTGCACTTAATAAATGTAAATCCTATACGATGTAAAA